AGCAGCATCTGCCAGGTAAGGGCCACGGCCCTTGCAGGCTCCACATCCACCGTGCCAGCCCCGGGCCCGGGCCCATTCGGTTCCCCTGGGCCTTGCCAGGGTACCGGGGTGCGCACACCTGCCTCCAAAACTGAGCTGGGCCAGCCTCTCTGTGGCTTATTTTTAATGTTTTGGTTCACAGTTGTCTGGTGCTTTGGGAGCCTATTGCAGTCTTTCAAAAAGGTGGATAAAAGGATCAAACTTTAGATCAACATGTACTGGGTGCCAGGGAGCACCTAAGTTCAGTTAGCAGAATACGTGCACAGTACGTTTTCCTGTGGCCACATGGCTTCTATCCAGGGCAAGATAGGGAGGAGAGGGCCCCGCACTGTAGATTTCATATAGTTTCCGTGGCCTTTCTTGGTGTCTGTTGTTGTCTTCCTCAGCAGTAGGACACTGGGCTAAATAAATTTTTACTTTGACCAGTAATGGACATTCTCATGTATGTATCTCTTGTATCACATGAGATTCTCTTGCATCACATGAGATCTATGGTGTGGGGCCAGTACAACAGTGAGCGTGCAACGTGTCCTGCAGAAACACTCATTAAATATCTTGGCTGTGCTCAGTAGGTATAACACACATCTTGGAAGCTCTTGGCATGCTCGTGCCCCTTTTCCTTCCTGCAGTCCGTTCCATGTGCAGATCAGAGAAGCAGCCTAGGAAGAGTGGCTAGGAGCAGGCTGATGGCACTCAAACAATTCCTGCATCCTGCTTTGGGTGTCCTTTTTTAGTATCTTTGTTGCAGGGAGGTTAGAGGCTGTCAGTACATGGGTTGGTTGGACCCCAGCTGTCAGTTTTTCTGGGGTACAGCTACAAGCAGAGGTTGGGTGAACTACTGACTTCATGAGCTCAATTCCTAAAGAGAGGAGAGTGACTGTAAAGACAACTGCTGTCTAAAGTCCCATTAAACATGAAAAATTAGGTCTAACTACCCCTAATATCCTTCATGTTGCGTATTGGGATGGCTATTCCACTGTTTTCACCAATAAACACCTAATTATGTAAATTAATATTCATAATGGGCAAGGTTTGCCTGAAACACAGAAACACAGAGTTTATTCCTAGCCTTTAAGAATGAATGGTTGCATTTTTCAGGAAGCTTGCTACTGGAAAAAAAACTTGCTAAACAGCAGTAAAGAGGTATTTTGGCCTTACTTTTGTCATTTAATCCTGAAGGGCAGAGACAACTTTCTCTTTGGTATTGAATTGTGATTCAGATATAGTCTTAGCTTAATCGAGCTAATGTATTTGTAGAATCATGTAAAAATTGAAAGGGGGAAAACTGCAATATGTAGTTATGATGGCTATTTCTTAGTCTCTTCTGTATTCCTTTATGTTTCTATGAATCTTCTTCCCTTGTTTGTTTTCCTGTATCTGGTATTGAAAGTCTTTGGAACAGGTATAATATTTGCTTATTTATAAACATAGTTGTGTAAAATAATTTCTCTTTCTTTTTTTTTCCATAGGTGAGCTTTAGTCCTCAAGACAATGCACAGGTTTGTGTCACTGGAAACGGCTTTTTTAAACTGTTTAAGTATAGTGAAGGAACTTTGAAACAGACGAATTTACAAAAGGGAGAGCCGCAAAACTACTTGTGCCATGCCTGGCTGTCCAAGGAGGAAGTTATATGTGGTACTGACACAGGCAAACTTATCTTGTTTGAAACTGGGGAGCTGCACTGGGAGACAACTGTAGAGTACAAAAAACCACCCAGGGAACTAGAAGAAGATGCAACCACAAACGAATATGAGAGGTAAATCTGTTAAATACTAATAGTTTCACGCATGTGCATGCAGATAAGTTGCAGGTCATTCACTTATTTCCTTCTTGTCCAGTTTATGAATTGGTTACAATATTTTGATTGCTGCTGGTAAGCATTTTTTGTTTTGTCCTTTAGTCTTAAGTCTTCATGCATTTCCTGTTTGCAGTTCTTCTGATGTCTCTTGTGGACTGGCCTCTGAAGAGAATGGTTCACAACAGGATTCTTTGCCTCAAATATCTGCAGTTGCAGCTTATTCCAAAGGCTTTGCATGTTCATCTAGCCCAGGAGTTGTTCTTCTGTTTGAGAAGACCAAGGAAAAGGAGGTCTACAAGGAGAGTCAAGAAATCTGGGTAGGGAGAAAAAAGGAAGGGATTTGCCAGAGGTCACACTCAAAGTTAGTGACAGATGTCCTTTTGCAAAGTAGCTCTGCATGTTCCTATATGTAATATGGGCTCTGAGGCTGCTAAGCTTCAGGAAACCTTTAAGAAACTTTTATTTATGGAGACCTTTGGAGCTAAGAAGTAATGTACATCAGCTTTGAAGAATTAGGCTGCTTGGCTTTTTCAAGGCAGAGCTTTTCTCCCCTCAGATATTTATTATGGCTGTCATGAGATTTGTGCACTCTAAAGTAATCTAGTAAGATTTCTAACAGTTCTATGGCAAGCTGTATGCATTGACTTACTGGAGCGTCTGGATAAGAACATTTAACTCTGATGACCTGGTCAAGCCTTCATACTCTGGGCCTAAAAGGTCAGATCTTCCCTATGCATGAGACCATGTAATAAGACTATTATCAACCTGAATGATACAGTGCAAAGAATTCTGAGATCACAATTTTCAGGCAGTTTTCATTCTGACACTTGCTGGGTTTTTTCATCGATGTTTTTTTGCTACCATTTTCATTTTGTTTAATGCAGTACGTAAGATTACTGCTGAAATGTCCTCTGATACTGTTTTCAGCTGTAATGCTATAGATACAGTTAGGTTTTCTTGTCCTCTATTCCCTGCCTTACAGTAGTTATGTACTATTAAATATCCAAGTTGTCTTACTGATGTTATGTATATGCTTATTAGAGTAGCTTTATAGCAAGAGTCTGTGTGTGTGCATGCCTACTACTAAAACATGGAGACCCGGAGTATCCCATGGGATGCATTTCTTGTGCAGCTTCCTCAGGACCTGTTCAGCAGTGAGCCAAAAAAATCAGGCAGACAGGAGATTATATGTATATGCTTCAGCCCCTCTGAGGAAACAATGGTCGTTAACACAAATGAAAATCAGCTTTACATGTTTACTATGGTCACCGATCTTCTGAAGGTGAGTGCAATCTTACCATATTCCACAGCCATCGTGTTTAGTAAAGGATGTATTGTACTGGCACAGGCTATTCAGTGTCGATTTCTATGATGCATTCTCATAAAATCCATCAAATAGCATTTGAACCCTTAAAGCTCATGATATGAAGTGTTCTGAATGCTTCTCTAAGAGCTGTATTTCAGTAGCCCCTTGTTCAAGCATCCCTCCATATGAATACCTGGTGTTATTCAGCAGAATCATAGAGGACACTCTTAAGACCGTTCAAGGGTCCATGTCACTGTTGAACCACTTAAGTAAGGCTTTAAGAGAAAGATTTTTAACGTAACTGTAGTAGTTTATGCTCCTCTGTAATATGCAGAGACTTTAATGCAACAATAAAGCTGGAACAGCCATGGCAATCTCATGTTACTCTAAAATAGTAGTTAGAAGTGAAGCCTCTTTGTGAAGGACAAACATAATGAAAAATATTCCTTACTCTGAAGGAATTAAATAGTACAAAGACAAGAGATAAATGTATTATCATGAAATAGACTTGCGTGGAGTTAAATACATAACCTGTACAGGCTTACGGAAAGATCTTTACAAAAAGAGATTTTGTAGTTACAGGTCCTTTTTCTGCATGCAGCCTAAAATTTAATTGGTGCTTCACTTCCAGCATGTACTAGCTAAACA